ATATTTTGGAGTGAGAGTCCCAGATCCTGCTGTGGAGGAAATCAGACTTGCAGACACAACTGTCCTTCCTGATTTTAAATGAGAAATTAAGCTTTTCACAGCAAAAAACCCKGTGAACAGAAGCCAGGATATATCTCTAAAATAGGCTGAGGAACTGGGCCGTAACATCCTTGGGTGACTTTTTTATGATGTCCACAYGGGTCTGTTGGCAGATGTGGAATTTTGGAGGCAGTCAAGGAAGCTGGAGAARTGAATCAGAGGAAAGATCAATGTTTTGACTTAAATTTGTCCGAAAAGCAGAAAGGAGCTGAGGTGCTCAGGTATTATGGGAAAAGTTGGGTTCAGTTGGGCCCAAATGCTGTATTGGGAGAGATGGGAACAGAACCACCAGAGGAAAACTTATTTTATATTTGTTTAATATTGTCACATTCCACATATTTCAGAGTAATCCTTTACTTCCTGCAGAGACTTTGCAGAATCAAAAWGATAGAGAGGATCCTGTAGTAATCTAAAGTATGGGTCCTACAACTGGTATGGGGGTGCAGGGAGCTGGCAGAGATTTATGGAGCACGTTTTTGAGCTCTGCCATATTCCCTGAGGAAAAGGGCAAAAGTSGAAAGGGCTGGATTGCTCCATCATTTTGGAGCCTTAATTGGATCAGGTCAGTGGGAAAAGGAGGTGATGGAGGSTAATGAAGGGCACAACAGAGTGACTGAGTTTGGAAAACACAATCAACCCCCAGAGTGGGCTGCCATTCCTTTGGAGGGGAGGGAGGAGAGGGAACAGCGTGATCTGCTCAGAGGGATGGGAGAGTGCTCAGGCTGAAAAACAGGGAATGAGTGTTTAAAAATAAGTGTGAACTGTTGTGTAGAGGGAAGGTGGATGAATAGCTTCCACTTTGATGGAAAAAGTGAGGATTTTGAAACATGTAAAGGAGTATTTTTATCCCAATGATATTGARAAGATTGCAAGTTGAGAAGCAGGTCTGGATAGGAACAGTGTGGAAGGATTTGTGTCCCCTCAAGGGATAGGGATGGGATGGAAAGAGATTCTCATTCCTTGCTTGGTTCAAACCCTTCCTGTCTGAAAGTGTCCCCTGGGTGAGGAAAAGTAAGGGGAAAACAGATCAGGTTTCCTGGAAAGCCTCTACAGAGAGCCAAAAATCCTTCCTTTTGGTAACTTCCCCATAGAGGTTAGCAAGGATTTTCTTAATGTTTTTTAAGGTTCAGGATTGCAGAAAGCAGCAGCAAATGAAAACTGTTCAAAATCAGGATTTCTGTTCCTGTGAACAACTCCGATTTCTGCATTTAATTTCAGGCTGAGAGAAAAAAATGCATTAAAAATAATAAAAAAAAAAAATTAAAACCAACTCAAAACTTTACATGACTTATTTAGAACACTCATTTAGCTGTGTCAAAACTTTCYACTTCCAATCTATCAAAATATTTCATCTTGATCTTTATAGTATTGGAAATAATTACCAGAGCAAAACACTTCCCTCTATGGATACTATCCACAAGTATTTTGGATGGCATAAAGGAATTCTTTCATATCAAAGTGAAAGGGTTCAGTTGTTTCTTCTAGAAAACATTCCTGATCTTAACCAAGTAAGAGATTTCTACTGGAGATCTTCCACTGAGAAAGTTCTGACTAATGCAAGACGTAAGAGCTTGGGAGTGTTGTCGTACCTGCAGAGTAAAAGTTGCTGCTCTGTGTCAGATATTGTTGAGTTTCCCTTTTTTTTGCCCATTTAAGCTTTATTGGGAAGGAGAGAAAGACTGGTAGGAGGGCTGGAGATGAYAGATCCAGAGATCAGAAGGGGAAGAACTGGAAAAAATTGGGCTGGAAGGAAAAAGATATTTGCGCATCACAGAGGGGCCAAAAAGGTCATCAACCCAAAGTGTAATTTTCCTTTGTAGGTACCATTTGCCAYGGGGGAACCAGCTGTTTGTAGGAGAACATTGCCTTTTGTCCTCCCAGGAGTATTGAGGAGCAAAGCCACACTCATGTGGCATGTCAGGAATGTGTCTTGCACAGCACCACTGACTGGTCCTGACCACTCTGGCTGGGTGGAAAGAACTCTGACAGGGAAACAGGCTCTTTACAGGCTCTGAAGACAAAATCACACTTAGTGGCTCAGTTGGGAGCCAATCCAAGTGGAGAAGAAATTTTTCTAGAGAATTTTGGGAGAACCAGCATTTCTGAAAAATCAGTCAGAGCAGCCTTGGGTCCAGTGAGATAAATGAGAAACATCCAGCATTGGGATGGCAGAGCAGGGGAGGGTGGGCTCTGTCCCTAAGGAGCTCCATGTCCCCAAGGCAGAGCTTCATCCTTCTGCTCACTCACCCTTCTGCTCACTCTTCCTCCTCCTCTTCCTCCCCCAGCTCATGAGGGTGCCACATGTGACTTGCTGGGCAAGATCTACCTCAATGGGGAGAGCTTTCAGCCCACGTGCAAGCTGCAGTGCATCTGCATGGACGGGGCCATCGGCTGCATCCCGCTCTGCTCCGATGATGTGCGCCTGCCGTCCCCCAAGTGCCCCAACCCACGCAGGGTGAAATTCCACAACAAGTGCTGTGAGGAGTGGCTGTGTGAGGAGGGCAGCAAGGAGAAGCGCTTTGGAATGGCCGTGGCGGGTCAGTGGGGCACATGGGATGAGGCCGGGAGCTGTTTGCTGGAGAAGAGGGGTGGATTGGGACASTGGCTGGTTTGGAGCTGGTGGTGGCTTTGTGCATTGTCATGGTGGGGGTGGGTACCAAGTGTTGGCTTTCACAGTTGGCCACCAGGTCCAGCCCACTCAGCTCTCCTTCCCACCTGGACAGGGGAGAGAAAATAAGATGGAAAATGACTTATAGGTTGGCACAAGGTAATTTACTAAAGCAAAAATAAAAGYTTGCACATGCACAAGCAAAGAGAAAAAAAATAGGTTTATTCTTCCCATCATCAAATGGGGGAGCAGGGCTTCAGCATATGGAATAGTTGCACTGGAAGGCAAACATTATAAATAGTGAATGCCCACCCCCTTCCTCCTCTTTTTCTTAGCTTTTATATCTGAGCTGACATCATACAGTCTGGAATATCCTTTTGGTGAATTTGGGCCAGCAGTCCTGATTGTGTCCACTCCCAGGGCCTTGTCCACTTCTAGCCCCGTGATTGGGGGAGGAATGTTGGAGAGACAGCACTGATKCTGTGCCAGCCCTGCCCAGCAGTAKCCAAAAACACTGGTGTGTTAGCAACACCTTTCCAGCTCCCACTGGAGAGCGCAGCACAGKGAGGGCTGCTCTGGGAACATCAACTCCAGCTAAGCCAGACCCAATACAAGGTGAGACCTCAGTGGCAATATAGGAAGGCTCCTGTGTCCTGAATTGTCACAGCAGACCCGGCTGGAGCTGGGCAGTGTAGGAAACAGCCCCTGCTCACCTGCATCCTCTTGCTGCTGAGAGGCCAAGCATCTTCAGTYCAGACCTTTGCTGCTGTTCCTGAAGTGTTAGACTGAGCTGGGAGCAGCCATGGAGCTGTCATCCTTTGTCCCAAGCCCTGAGCCTTGCCCTGTGTCTGTTCCTCATGGCTCAGTTTTCAGGGAGGATCCAGGTCACAAGCCAGAGCTGAACAGCCTGCAGGAAAACTGCCTGGTGCAGACCACAGAGTGGAGTGCATGTTCCCGGAGCTGTGGAATGGGCATCTCCACCCGTGTGACCAACGACAACCCCCAGTGCCGCCTGGAGAAAGAGACACGGCTCTGCATAGTCCGGCCCTGCAACTTCTCTGTGGAGAAAACCAAGGTATGGTGCTGGGGGAGAGGTAACACAGCACCCCAAATGTCAGGGACAGCCTTGGGATTGCTCCTGGCTCGCAGGGTTTGCTCTGTGCTTCCACTCCCTCTGTGTCCCATTGCCCAGTGATGGCGTTGGAGCCATCTTGGTGCATCTTTCCTCTTGTATCCATGTTAATTCATTTCTCTCTCCTTAGAAGGGGAAGAAGTGTGTGCGGACCCCAAAGCCACGCCAGAGGCTCCACTTTGAGTTTTCAGGGTGCACCAGCACTCACTCCTACCGGCCCCGGTTCTGTGGCAGCTGCTCCGACGGGCGCTGCTGCACCCCGTTCCTCACCAGCACCATAGACGTGGAGTTTTGCTGCCCTGAGGGGGACTTCTTCCAGAGGAAGATGATGTTCATCAAGATGTGCTCCTGCCACTATGACTGCCCTCGAGACAATGACATCTTCCTGGCCACATATCATCGTCGGATGATCGGAGACCACATCAAGACCGAGCAGAAATAGCCCTGTCCTGCCAGATCTGAGGTGTCCAGGAGGGCTCTGCAGTACTTTCATGGCTGTGTTCYAGGACAATGCAGCCTCTTCCCCCTCAGCAGCACCATTCACACCAGTGGTACCAGCAGTTTTTCCCAACAAGCTGAGGAGGAAGAGCCCCAGCTGCCTCAGCCCCCTGACCCCCACCCATGGTAGTGCAAAGGTCAGTGGAGGAACCAAAACCAGGCTTGAGGTGCAAACTTGATCTGTATTCCCACTGGTCAGAGGGGAGAGTGGATCAAAGTGATGTGATGTCAGCCCAGACCACAGCTCCTGATTCAAACTCTAGGAGTTCTTCCAGCAGGAACTGGGTTGGGCCAGGCTGCCAGACCAAGGTGTTCCCTGCAGGTACCACTCTGGACAGCTTTTAGTGCCTTGATGAGTATTTTGYAGAACCATGGAGTGGTTTGGGTTGGAAAKGACTTTAAAGCTCATCTTGTTTCAACCCTCTGCAATGKGCAGGGACAACTTCCAACAGACCAGGTTGCTTCAAGCTCTGTCCAACCAGGCCTYGGASACTTCCAGGGATGRGGCAGCCACAGCTGCTCTGGGCACCCTGTGCCAGGGCCTCACTGCCCTCACAGGGAGGAATTTCTCCCTAARCTTGTCAGAAATGGCTCTGGGGTGGGAGGGGGACTGGACCCCACCAGCTCACACATGCACAGTGAGGCTACAGCTATTTCAACTCTGGAATTTTTTCTCTGGATATTTGTAAGAAGGAGAAAYGCTATTCAGCTCTGGTATCCCTGGAGAGTTTAAGGCACTGGCAAGAGAAATTCTCCTATTTGTAAATGGAGCAGATCCCTTCTGCAGTTACTGAGGCAGTGCCATGGAGAGCTGTTGGCACTGGAGTCTCCAGCAGTGGGTTTCCCTCCTGGCCACAGTCTCTCTGCCAGTAAGGGCACCCCATTGCCASTCCATAGCTCCAGGAAAGACCACCAGTGCCAGTGGTGTGTCCAGAAGTACCTTGGCAGCTCTGTGGGACTGCTGAGGTCTTGTGAGGTGTGGAAAAATCTTCTGATTTTTTAGCAGAAACGTCCAGGTACAGCACCTGATTCTGTTTCTTAAATCATCCCTGTTTACCACCACTGGAATTCATGAAGAATTCCTGTTCCAGCCAGGCAGGAGCAGCAGCCCCAAGGTTTCACCTCACCATATCTTCSTCCCCCATATCAGAGCCTGATGCCAAGGGACAGTCCCAGCTGCTGCCCTGAATCTCCAGACTGCTGACAGACCAGCTCAGGGTGCACATCCCATCCCAGCCCCTCTTCTTTCTGTCTCAGCCTGYGACAGCTTGTGAGCCTTCAGCCTCATGTAATCGATTTGAACTGTAAATAGTTTATCTGCTGTTTCTGTTTTTAAGACCTTTGTACAGTCTCAGTATCCCATTGGCACAGCGCTGCTCATGCCATTTCCCCCTGCTCAGCTTCTCTSCTGCCGTTCATCAGCTGCTGAGCCAAAAACCATGCTGAGGTTGCACTTTACTCAGCACTAATAAATATTTCTTTATTTTTTATATCCCTGAACTCATCCTTTTTTGGGAGGCTCCTGCCTGGCTCCCCCTCTGACCTTTCCCCAGTGCTACCAGCCTGCTGGGACCCTCTGGACAGGGTGGGTGCTGGAGGGGAGGAGGGTAACAAGGGGTTCTTTTCCCTTTCCCAGATAGCAGCGGGATTGATGTTAGTGTTTCACAGGCACCTCTGCAGCCCACAAAACACAGCTCCTCCCTCCACTGCTGAAGGGGGAACAAACAGAGCCCCCCTCCGTATGCTCAAGGACCCACAAGTCCTTAATACCCGATTAAAAATAACCCCGGGAGCAGATGTGAGCAGAAGTCAGTGATAACGGGGCCAGAACACGAGGGGCTTTGCAGTGGCTTAACAGCTTATGGATTCATCCCCCTCTCATCACATTAGCCAGGGACTCCCCCCTCTCCCATCCCAGCACCGCGGCAGGGGCTRGAGGCTCTTCCTGCCTCCAAACCTTCACCCTCCCCGGGGAAGGCTTAGGGGAGGGTGATGGGAGAACAAACTCATGTCACGCTTCAGCTGTGGGGCACTGAAGTTCTGAGCTTGGGGCAGGATCCGGCCCGTGGATCTCTGAGAGCTGCAAGGCCCTGGGAGAGGAGCGGGGGACACACGGTGGCGGGCCCCGCCAGTGTCCCCAGGGCAGTGACCATTAGATGGCACCAGGCACCTCCCTTTGGGGACACCAGGGCGGGGTGTGGGGGCGTGCAGGGCCCCTGGGGTGCTGGGGAGTGCCGGCTGCTGAAGGTGACCCCGGGCTGCCCCCACCTGCTCCAGCCCAGTGCCGGCCCCCAGTGCCACCGCAGGGCCACCACCYCCAGGACAGCGGAGAGGGCACTGAGGCTCTTCATGCTGGGGCCGAATTCCATCTTGCCGCCAGCTTCATCCCCGTCCTCGGGGAGCCCCTGCGCCCCCTTATCTCCGCAGCCGCCGCCTGCGCGGCGCCGATAACCCGGGCGTGGCCCAGGGATGGGGTCGGGTTTGGGGGCACTTCAGTGACCGCGGTGCCCTTATCAGCTCCGGCCACGCCGCAGCCTCCGGCGGCAGCAACAGGACGGGGACACCCCCGGCTCCTCCAGGCCCCGGCAGTGACGGGATTTTCCCTAAGAATACTTAGGAAAGGGGTGAAAATGAGCAAAACACCTCCAGAAGCCCCCRTTCTGCCGGTTTGGAGGGGGATTTGGGGCTCTGCCACAGCGCGGGGGGAACCTGTGGGGGCGCCTTCTCCTTATACGGGCTTATGACGTCACGGGGGCGCTGAGGGGAATCTCCCGGCCCCGCCCCCCGCCTGTCACCTGYGGGCCCCGCCCACTGCAGCGGCGCGCGCCGGCCCCGCGGCCTCCGCGCGCTGACGGGCGGGGGCGGGAACCAGTGGGCGCGGCCGGCGGCGCGGGGGGCGGAGCTCACGCGGTGACGTCAGAGGGGGCGGGGCCGGCGGTGCAGGTGGAGGCAGCGCGGAGCGGAGCGGCGGCCCCGGTGAGCGGGGGGGGGGCGGGGGTGTCGAGCGGGGGTCACGGGTGGAAGTGGCGGTCCCTCGGGTGTCACGCCTGTTATGGGGTGAGGGAAGGCTGTAGGGGTCAGGCAGGTTATGGGGTGCGGGAACTATGGGGGTCCTGGGGTGCTCTAGTGGGAGTATAGGGCTCAGGCAGATTYTGGAGGATTTCGGGCTCAGTAGAGGAGCCCGTGGTGGTTGAGTCCGGTCATCGGGTGTGGGGTCATGGAAGGAGTTGTGGGGCTGTGGAGGCACATGGGGGCTGAGTCTGKTTATGGTTATGGAGTGGAGGGGTTACCAGGGGACATGGGACACTATGAAGCAGAGTGTCTCCGGTGGGGTCAGGCTGGGTGTGGGGTGACAYGGGGCTGCGGGAGCCAGGGGCACCCGTAGAGGTCAAGCTGAAATGTGAAGTGTTYAGGGCGCTCAGGGTTTTAGGGGGTTGGGGGTTGTCATTCTAGGTGTGGGGGACCCACCATGACTGAGTTGTGGRGCGGCGGGTTTATGGAGAAATGGGGAATGTTCAAGGGCTGGGGGAGACCAGGGAGGAACCTGCAGCGCTGTCAGGAAGCGTATGGAGCAGAAGAGAAGTGAGATGCTCTGGAGTGGGGGGATCAGGCTGGGTGTGGGAGGAATGGGGTGCACTAGGGCTGTCCTAGGGACTCTGAGTGGGGCTGAGGATGTGGGGTAGGAAGGCTGGAGTGCACTGAGGGGGCCCACAGAGGGTTCATGCTCAGGAGGTGCATGGGACCCTGACCCACGGGRAGTGCCAGCCCTGAGACTCGGATGTTTCCGAGTGTTCCCGTAGTGTTGTTTCCACTGATGCAGTGGAGGGGAACAGGCAGATGCAGCCTCGAGGAGTGGGGTCCCCCCTGAACCCCGCTGTCACGGCAGCAGCACTGGTGTCCCTTCCTGGGAGGTGGCAGTTCCCGCTGTGGYGTTTGCGCCCAGCTCTGGCTCTCGGTGTTGCTGGGGCTGTGCCCGAGGTGCAGCAGCTCAGCCTGTGGCTTCGGGGCGGCCGCGGTCTCTCGGCTCTCTCCAGACCCCGTCTGCACCCGCCGGGACTGTTGCCAAAGCCGGCGGCAGTGGCCGAGCTGCGGGGCGGAGGGGCTGCTCCGCTGTCCATCCCTGTCCGCCCCCGGCCGGGGCCGCGCTCAAACCTCCATCGACTGCCCCACGCCCGTGGGAGGGTCGGTGTCTTCACGTCCTCTCCTCGACGGGCACGCTGTGCGCCGATATTGCAACCAGAGGCGTGTGCGGCGTTTCTGGCGGTTCCTGCAATCTCATCCTTTGCTGAATTTCGCCCTCCTGCAGTCGTGGTGGGACGAGGGGCTGCTGAACCTTCTCGTTGGTCCGTGCTGTTGGCTGTGCCGATGGCGTGTGCCTTCCCCGCTCCCTGGCGGGGTCCGAGCGGCTGGCGGCGTGGCAGGGGACAGCGGGGGACAGTGTCTATCTTTAGGGCTGTGTTGCAATGGAGGGGTGTGCCTTGGCTCGGGGCTGCCCGCAGCCGCCTCCTCGCCCGAGGATTGACTTACGCCGAGGCTCCTGCATGGGGTCAACCAACATTTGCTCTGCTGTTTGTGTGAACAGGAGGGGCTGTGGTGCGGCTGAGCCAGGGGTCGGACAGTGTCGGGGGCTGATGTTAGTCACACGTGCCCTGCATTAGGTCAGGCTGTGCAAAGTGCACAGGGCCTGGGTTTGGGGTGCACCGCCGGCCCCCAGCACATGTCACATGTCACACATGCTCTGCCACTGCCCGGCAGCAGCACCGGCTGAACCAGAGTAAACGGTTGGCATGGGAAAGGCTGATGGTGCAGGGAATTTCAGCTGCCTTGTGGAAGAGAAGTCACCCTGGGGCATGGGAGCAAGTTGGGTTCTTGCAAGGTGCATCCCAGAACATTCCCCATCCCTGTGCTGTTCAAAGGCTTAGTGAAAGTACATATGTGGCTGCAGGAGAGAGCTGGAGTCAGGTCCCTTTTGCGTCCTCTTTTTGCCAGAGTAACCAGGTTAGTCCGTGGAAGTAATTTGCACTGCAAAGGTGAGATGACATGGGATCGAGGTTCCATGTTTGGCCTAATCCTTCTTCTGAGCCATTGCCCTGCTCATGCCCACTGTGCCTGTGGGGATGCAGCTGCACCGTGCCTGTCTCTGAGAGGAGGTAGCTGGAACATGTGGAGCAATTTGCATCCCCTCAAATACAGCAGAGTCCAGTTCTGCTCCCAGTTCTGGGGCCTGTGTAGATTTGAGTCTCCTCCAGCTCATGGTGCTGGCAGCCCCTCAGTTTCTCTCACAAAGTGGGGCACACRGTGCTTCTGCCTGTGGTAATTGTAATGGCGAGTCAGCAACAGCAAAAAGTTGATCTGTGCATCAAACTGCTTCTCATTGTTGCGCTCTACCTGTTATGTGGTTGTGGGGCTCCCCGGTCCCTTCACTTTTCTTCACTCTTAGGAGAAACTTCAGGCCTTCCCGAGAGGGTTTGAAACCTGCTGARGAGAGAAAGTGCCTTCTCATCTGCAGCAGGGCTGCTGGGATGAGGCTTCCTCTTCCCGACGCGCAGCCTGGCAACTGCTGGAATTGCCTGCAGCCGCATCGCTCCGCACTGTGTGTCTCTCTGGGCTGGCACAGTCCTTTCGGAGCCAATGGTGCGGGGAGGGGATCTCTCAGAGGGAAGGCAAAATATTATCTGTACTCTGAGCAGGGAACTCTGAAGTTATGTTACTGATTTAATATATAGCACGGTTTTTCTGAGCTCCCTCCCCAGTTAGTCCCCGGAGGGCGGGGCAGGCTGCAGGTGGTCCCTGCCCCMGAGCGCAGAAATTGTCCTGTCTCTGCTGAGTAGTGTTTCACCTTTGTGTTCCCAGCTGCAGSAAGAGGCTTGAAGCTGTGGTGKCTGSAAGTTTGGGGTCRTAATTGGCTCTTGGCCAYGTTGGATGCTGTGGCTGAAGATGTGGGAGCTGAGATGTGATTTGGGAAGGGGGCGACTTGCCTGGAGGTCTCAGTGAGCTGCCTAGGAAGGAGTGGGATGTCTCGGTTGCCCTTTTTATGAGTTTGGCTTCATGCAGTGATTTGTGTGAGCTCTGAGTTGAGATTCACCAGGCAGAGCTGCAGGCAGTTGTGCCTATTTAGYCTGGGACCAGCATTATGGGGATAAGCAGTCTCACAAGGCAGTTATCCCAATGAGGCTGTGATGGTTTGGATCCCTCRTGCCCTGACATTGGGACTTTGTCATGCCATCCCTTTCTGAGCTGGTGGGGACAGCCAGTGTGGGCTGGCTGGGGCTCTGGGGTCCCCCCAAAGCAGCCACCCTGGCTGCYCACTTCTCCCCACTAGAGGCTGCTGATGACCAGAGCATTTTCCGTCCCTGCTCTGAGAAAGCAGCGGGGTCTGGAATTTGCAGGGCTGAGCATCCCGGCCTGAGCTTTTCCTGCTGATTCACCCTGGAGAGAGCAGCGTGCTTTSCTTGGCAGTGGCCGGGTTCAGAGGGCACATCTGCTCCCTTG